AAAATAAGTGGGAACCCTAATTCAGTGTCAATCATCAGTGTCATAGACTGAGTCACAGGCTTGACAAAGTAAAGAAGCAGCACCTTTTCCATGATGCCATGCTTCACTTCATCATAATTTGAGACAAATTCCAAGTCCATCTTACCATCTACTCTAATAGCATAGTGCAAATCACGATGAAGGTTGTTGATAAGTTGCTGGAAAACAGAGTACCCCCAAGTTAATCCAAAATAGACATGAAGCGAAATCTTTCCATAGAAAAATGGCCAAAAAACTGCAATGGAGCGGCAATGGATAGCAACCACTGAGAATGTTGCCAGGCTAGGTTCAAAACCGAGTTAGGTTCTTCATGACAACATATGATAAAAAAATCAGTTTTCAGCTCACCATACACGCATGCCACAAAATATGTAATCAAGAAATATGACATACTGTGAGCACTAAAAACATCAATCGCCCAGACTTATTTAGGATATATCCTCTATATACTGAAAAAGCCCACTCCTAGCCAGCTCGGACAAAAGAGTATCAAGTTATCAACAGTGAGAACATATGTTGGAAACTGAGTTTCATCATACCTCAATCTATTTTTGTTCCTTAAATGGTGTGACATAGCAATAAAGGATCACGCTAAAGAATGAATGTAGTCAAAATCCTTGGATTCATATAATCGTAATGCATGAACACAGGGTACCATTTTTGTTTCTACCTTTTATAGCTTCATGAACATCCTCTGATTAGCATAAGACTAGTTTTTCAAAACTCAAAAATTACAGAAGAAGGTGTTCAAATTTGAAACTTAAAAAGCAGAAATTCATGAAAATACCAACTGAAAAAGTTAATTATAACTAATTTCTAACCAGGTCTAAGGGAAAAAAAGTTCTGAGAAAAAACAGTTAAATTTTTTTAGCTGAATAGGCAGAGCGCAGATTAAAATATGGAACACATTCATATATGGACAATGGAATTGCATAGATTTTGCATATCAAAAATGCATTTGACCACAGAAGTAAAAAAAGGCTCCGAACCCCATAGATAGACATAGACCAACTATTTCAAGAGATCAAAACTGACACATAAGGGGGCATTACCCAATGTTGTACTGCTTATGGATTAAGGGCAAATCTTACTCACTTGTCCTGTCCATTTTGCAAGTCTCCCAAAAACCAAACTTGACTCTTTGTTTATCAATCTTAATTGGAATACAGATTTTCAAAAATTTCACTAGTAGCGCAAAGCATAAAATATTTAGGTGATCTACTGATCATTAGACTTCTTGCAAAAGGTTCTTGCATGAACCCTAACTACCATGCAAAGCTAAAGGACAGTCTTTTATAATACCATTTAGCCAGACAAATTCTAGTGCTTTTTGGTCTTCATTGTCATCTGTTCAAACCACGTAACTAGTTTCACGTCAAAAAACCAGATAACCAACAACTCCCAATTTATGTTATCTTCTTACTGAATGATATAAGAAAAATGTCCGAGTAGTGAATCCTTATAGTAGACTAATGCACATGGCCAGGACCGTACATGTTGGGAGGGTCTTCTGAGAGATCTAACTATGTGCACTAGTCAGCTTGCGATACTTGAAAAGGGACAGAGCACTAGGCTGTAGTGAAAAATGAGCTCATTCCAATTTAAGTAATTAATGCATCCTAGATACAATTTTTTCGAAAAGAATGAAAGAAACTGTTTGGCAATGGTTGTGGAAAACATGTAGACAAACTTACATCAAAGGCAGATGGATCAAGTTTAAAACTAGTTGAAAGGTCAGATCTGAAAACACCACTTTCTAGGCATTCTACATGGCCACCAATGTACGTTTCACTCCCAAGGAGTTGATTCTTGTAGAATTTCTCAGAATCAGATTGATGTTTATTAGGGCAAATGACATTTGCCTTGTATGCCTGCAAGCATGATAAAAGGACAGTAGTGATATAATATAAAAAAACTTTTCAGACAAAGGAAAAGAAAAACCAACACACAAATATGACAACTTTTGACCATAGAACTTTATGCCATTATAAAGTGCCAAGGATAAAACCAGAAAACCCGGGAAACTGTGAAAATTCACAACAGCAGGCAGAAAAAGAAATTTGTCAAAAGCCTCAACCTGCATAATTCAGTCCACACAACTGGACCATAAGAAGCAGTTCACAAAGGGTTCCACTTCCTTTACGCAAAACCTCATCTGGCGGCATTGGTATTATAGTTGCAAGGGAAAAAATGAAGGGATGAACATAAGTCATATACAAGTAGTAAGTTGCAACAGCATCAGATACAGAATAGGAGGCCATCATCTGAAGCAATAAATACAAACGTGAAAAAAAAATATTAGAAATACTTTCAATAACGTAATGGATAAAAGAGGATGCATTGTTTTAATTTCAAATATAAGGTGACATGGATAGCTATTGAGCTCAGTCAGAAGAAAGATAATGCTCACAATCACCCAACAAAAATTTAAGTCCGTATGAGTTGCCTCCTAGGCCATGAAAGTCCCTCATCTATAGGCAGATAGAAACTATATAATAGACGATGGTATCTAACTGTAGGCACCTCTGCAACTTTATATGCTGCTGCAACTTTAAGAAAAAGGTAATGGGTTCCTAAGATTCAGTGGATCAGACACGAGGAAAATTTTACCACTCGTATAACCCAAACATAGAACTTGGAAGCTGAAGAACACCCCTCCTTGATAGAAAGGTAAAAGGGAACTCAATGCTTGGTTCGGAGAGCACCTGTTGGGTTAAAGATTTTTTTGTTGCGAAATGTCACAGCCTAAATGCTGAACTACTACACCCCAAAGTGTTCCCGGACCATGCATACATCCTTTCATGGGCTCCGTTGATAATTTGCACAAAACTAATACCTGGGCACCTTTATACAAACTTCTTGATGTCAATTGAATGGCCAAGATTGACTAACTGCCTCGGCTCCTGCATTGAATTCTCTATACACAACAGACTTGTATGCTCTTTCAGAAAGGAACAAAAAAAAAAAATCAGATATTTCTGTCCATGGCAGCACTGGTTTTCTTAGGACGGTCTCCACAATGATGCAGGTCTTCGTCAGCATAGTCATCTCTGTTTCCCATCTCAATAACTAATTATGATCATCTCATATGGTATTAAATCCAATTACCCCAGTTGTCTCTACCACTCTCTGTACTGTACTGCCTACTTCAATTCAGTTGCAAGTGATAATCAAGCAACTTTGCACATAGCTTCTCATCCTATGTTTCATGAAAAGACAAAGCTCAAGGATCAATTGCCAGATGTTCTCGCTAAGGAGTTAGGCTTTAATCATCTAACTGTTATTTGTTTCAAATTGGGATTATATGATATATAGATTGAGGGGGTGTTACTATATTGTGTCAAGTATACCACTCATGAAGATATACTTGCCTTCTCAATTTTTGTTCTCCAATGGAAATATATCCATAACAAGAATGAGTAGTTATTTAACCTATTCTCTTGACCATAGTTATCAAATCGTGTATCGGAAGGTGTATCGTTTTTTAAAATAGTGTATCGTATCGTATCGCGTATCGTAAGATACGGCGCAATTTTAAATAATTAATAATAAAATATATATACTTTTGAAAAAAAAGCATAGACTCATAAAAACATAACATTTCATTAATATTCCACATATTATTCAAGTCACCAATATAATTTATTAATATTAAAAAAATAATTAAGGGTATCAAATTAAATTAATGGTACTTATATATACTTAAAAGTAAAAAGTTAGAATATAATGGGGTATAAAATATAATTTTTCTACTTATAACAAACCAACACAGTCGAACGCGACAGAGAGAGAAGAGGCGAGAGGCGATGGCGATGGCGATGCCGATGCCGGAGAAAGAGAAGAAGAAGAAGATACCTGGTGGCTGGTACTCCTGGTCACAGCTCAAGCGATGAAGAGAGAGATCGTGAGACCTAGGATTTCATCCAGATTAGTGTTGATATTTTTTTCAATTTCAAAAATTTGTTTGATTTACTTTTGCTTGGGTATTTTTGTTGATTTGTTGCCCAGTAGTTCTTGTCTTCTTCATCTCTGTTGCCTTTTTTTTTTTAGCATTTTCTCTATTCTCTGATTTGTGGGCTTGGTTTCTTCATCTCTGTTTTTGCTGCCAACGATTTGGTGCAAATCGAAGTAATTTGGTGCAAATCGAACTGATTTGGTGCTGTCAACGAAAAAAAAAAAATTAAACAGAGAATTCGCGTATTGTTGATACCGATACGTATCGTATCGTAAAAACGTATCGTGTATCGGACGATACAACGCAAAAACGATACAAAACTACAATCCGTATCGTTTTAGCCATGTACCGTGACGTATCGTACGATACGTATCGCGTATCGTACGATACTAATAACCAGTGTTATTTAAGGCGTTAAGCGAACCGAAGCGACCAAGGCTCTTAACGCCTAGGCGAGAAGCGAGAAGCGAAGCGAAACGATTTACCAAAGCGAAGCGAGCAGTTAAAAAAATAAATAAATATGCAGGCAATAGGCCAAGAATAGGGAAGCAATACCATTCCATGTAAAACGTCAAGTATCACTGCCTGCATTCTAGTCCAAAATACCATTGCAAGAACAATTGAATCTGTATGTTAAATTTAGTTCACCTATAATGATCATATCATGTGAGAGTGAGATGCCATCAAAGCTTAATTAAATTGTATTTCGGACTGGAGTTTCATTCACAAATTTTTTTTTTTTTTTTTAGGCTTACATATGGTTTTAACTCACATTTTTATGGGATCTTCACATCGAATGGAGTTTGGATAGCAACATAAGGAAAAAGCAAAAAAAACAAAAAAAAACAGACGCATAATGAAAAAAAAAAGAAGCACAATCGGAGCAGAATAGGGTAGAATCAGAGCAGGATAGGGTAGAATCAGATCAAGAAAAAAAAAAAAAAACCAGAATCGGTGAAGGAGCAGAAGACAGAAGAAAAAAAATTGAAGAGAGAAGAAGAAGAGACTAACCTCCACAGTCCAGATCGTGTAGCAGTGGCGAAAACTCGAAGCCTACGGTCTTGTAGAAGTAGCGAAAACTCGAAGCCTTGGAGTGTAGCACTGGAGAACAGTACCGATCGTGTAGCAGTGGAGAGCAGCAATCGAGAGCAGCACCAAATCGGTCGTGTAGCAGAGGAGAGGAGCACCGATCGATTGTGTAGCAGTGGAGAGCAGCACTGATCGAAGCAGCATCGATCGAAGCAGTGGAGAGCAGCACCGATCGATCGTGTAGCAGTGGAGAGGCAGCACCGATTGAAGCACCGATTGAAGCACCGACTGAAGCTATCTGAGAAAAAATAAACAAAATTAGGTTAGGAGTTTTATTTATAGGATAAGGGAATAATTCGGTACATTAACATCTTAAAATTTTTTTTGCAATCGCCCAATCCTACGGTCTAAATTAAAAATAAAATATTTCGCCTCGCATAACAAAAGCGAGCGCTTTTTCGCTTTTTTCGCTTCTTCGCTTTTTCGCTTTTTCTCGCTTTTTTCTCGCCTCGCTCACGGTCGCTTCGCCTGGGTTCCTCCAGGCGAGCAAGTCTCGCCTCGCCTCGCTTCTCGCCTAGGCGAGCGCCTAGGCGCGCTTTTCATAACACTGCTAATAACTATGCTCTTGACCAAAATCTATGTTCTTCTAGTAAACCCCAACTTCAACAACTACAAGCACATTGGCCACCACCACATGAAAATTGCAAACAGCAATCACTGGAATGTCCAGATCTATCCGTGTTTCTGCCATATCACTATTTTGTCATATTTCACACTAAAGTACTCTATAAAGTTTTCAGGTCACCAGTGTTACATGTTATTGGCCATTAGTATTCAACTATTTCCAAATACTTTGGCTTCAGTTCTATAAAATGCAGCTATTTAGTGAAGAATTGACCATCTCCAGAAATACATACCTGGGGTCTTTCCTTTGCAAAGCAAACCATGTCCTCAGGATTCACTTCCAGTGGATCATACCCCAACTTAGCCTTTGTGACAGCCTGATATATCACCAAAAAGAGTAAATGTTATTCTTCGAAGAAGTATAACACAAGGAAAGGACCGAAAATATTCAAGGGAAAAGTTCAATAAGAATAATATAAGCCTTTCCTGTAACAACAAGGTTTGTGTTTCTCTAACAACGTTTGTGTACAGTTGACATGCCACTTTGCATTGCAACAATGCTACATCCACCAAATTTTGAATCCCAAATCAGTGTAAACCATAGGATCAGTAGATCCCACAAACTCTCACTAACGATTCAATGGCTATCAATATGACACATCATTTGGGATCAAAAAATTTGGTAAAAGTTGTGGTGGACACATCATTTCTCTTGCATTGAAGGTACTGACACTTGAAAAGTGAAAATATATGTAGGGACTGTCTCTATCACATTAAACATTTAAGGTTTAAAATCTTTTTGGACCCAAATGAAAAATCTAATTGATGCAAAATTAAGAGAAATGATGAGGATTTCTGGAAGAAAGGCATGATCCTCTTACATGATAGTTAACAAAGCAGAAGTATAAGAAGCATGAATCAAGATACATACAACTTAAGCATGATGTCATCTACTTTTATTCTCATTATGAACTAATTGCATCAGCATCCAGGTAGATCACATGAATCAACCACATCAGAATTGTATCCTTATAATTTGATTATTTGAATGGGACAAAGTGAATTGTGTCCCAGATGAATCAGCCTCACAGAATGGTAACAGATTACACAAATTAAATTCATTGTTTTAATAAATGATGAAAGCTATAGAGATATGATGAAAGCTACAGAGATATGATGAGCATACATTCAAACTAGTAGGGCTAGAAAAAGAAACATTTATCAGACCGTCATTATTATGTGCTGCATCAAAAACGTACAAGTATGTTATTTTATTATAATAAAACAATCCGCTAGCAGAAACAGATTTTACAAACTCAAATAAGCACAAGACCTCAAATCATGGAATTTCAATGTTGACAGGATCTAGGAAAAATATTAGCAAACGGAAGATAGATTCAGAGTCTTGAATATCGTAGAACCATGAATCCAAAGCAGAGATTTGCACCTTTAGGCCTTGGCTCCCTTGAGGTAGATAACTATCACGTTTGACCCAAGCAAAACAATCCAGATGGCATGCAAATTTAGCACGACATTCCCCTTGATTCTTGTCACAGAGAAATCCTAACTCCTGCAGCTCAAAAAGAAAACACAAACAAGAAAGCAGAAATAATCAAAATTATAGGTAGTAAACACTCATACTTCTGGCATACACTTTCCATTTACAACCTATAAATGAAAACAACTCATGGTTCATGTATAGATCCAAAACATAATGGAAAATACTCATCTTTTTGAGTTAAACGTACAGTACATTTATTAATTCTTTTATGTAGCATACTCCATTGTGCTGGAATTTTTAAAAGGTTTTCACTATATTTTTCAAAATCAATCAATTTAAAAGATCATGCAACTAGGAAAACAAAAAATATTGAAATCTTACTTTGTAGTGAGATTCTCTGTTCAGTGCTCTCATTGTGAATCGTAAGATTCATAACGTCTCGAGTCAGGTATCCTCTGACTTATGATTAAACTCATATAATATTCTTTTGCAGCTTTTGTGAAATAGAAATAAATTATTTTGTGAAATATGTTAAATATAAAAAAAAAATCTAAAAATGGTAAACATATGATAGAATAATGGATTTTACTACATCTATGATACATTAACATAGATATAATGTCACACTTTTTAACATGAATTTTTCACCACCATTTGTATCCCCACTCATTCATTTTCTTATAAAAAAACAATTTTTTATTATATTTCTTTTCATGTTTTGTATCAAATTTTCTGTCTCATATTTAATCGGGAGAAAATCATACAATATTCATCCATACAGTGTAGCACATTTTTAATTTTTTTGTTCAGGATTTATTTACCATGAAAATGTGCTTCGGTCAAGAAGAACTCTGGTTAAGAACTAAATGAAGATATCTTACAAGTCATGCAGATATGAGAACTAGGCTGTGTACAGCCACCTCTAGATCTAGGATTGCAGACATGAATCTAAACCCTATAGCATCACAAGAATTTGCTGCTGGTTTAAAACTAAAAGCAACTGTAATTTAAAACTTAGCGTCATTTAGAAAAGTAACACTTGACATTTGTGGATATAAATGCAGTGACACAACCAACACCAGTCAAATAGCAAAGATGTTTTCCAATCCGATAAAACACAGTCTGTTAGGGGCAGCAGTTTTAACTGATGGACAACAGTTAAATCCTATATATCAGATAATATGTGATTTCAATATTTCTGCACATGTTTTGCCTTTTTGAACAAAGGCATGCAAAGATTTCATATCATCTAATTTCAGCACCCCAAATTGGCATGTTGGCAGCATTAACACCACGTAATGGACTAGCAGGCAAGAAAGGGACGTGAATTTTAGAATTCACAAAGCGAAGAAATACAAGGTTTCAAGTATATGATCAATCTCAAAATTTTAAGGGAGGATATAGTTTAGACTTTTGGCGAAGAAAAGTCAGAAGGAAGCCATCACTAAATTAATGCCAACAATACAAACAAGCCAATGGGCCAATTCATTTAAAACTAACTGCAACTAAGTGATTTGAGATACATACATCACTCATTCTAAACCCATTATGGGCTGCTCTGCTTTCCAGAAAAGGCCAATCAAAAAAGTCACCATTATATGTGACATATATACCAGGCTTCACGTCTTGCATATGGGCAAACCACTGCCTAAGAAGCTCTTCCTGTAACAAAACAAATCATAGAGAAATTATAAAATATGAATCCAACTCCGTAAAATGTCAGAAGCTACCAAAGTAATATAAATAGAGTTACCTCATTTTTAACATTTGTAATCTTGAAGAACCCTTCAAATTCTGGTTTTGGAGTGTATTCCAAATCTTCTATATCTTCCCCAACACACTGAAGAGAATTGGGGAAAAAAAGTTTAATTATCAATAACACGGCATAACTCCATCATTTTAGGGCATAGATCGCAACTCAGAACATGAAATTGCAACAATGATGCTCATGTAGACAAAAAACAATAACGACTAAAATAACCATTTTGAGTAAGAAACCCTTCTGCTTTAACCAACACTTCTTGTGTAAATACCTTTTTATCAACAGTCGTTGTGTAACAAGGGAAGAAATTTGACCAAGGCCCCTAGAAGCTAAAAACCTTTCGAAGTCAAACATATAATATAAATGCATATAAATGTGTGTGTGTGTATATATATATATTATGTTGAATATCAAATAAATGTAACATTGATGACTAGCATGACAAAAAAAGTCCAAAGTAAGAATTTCACATGGAATTGCAATTTGGACCCTATTTGATGAACTTTTGAATTGAGTACCCTCACATTATTTTAATTATCAGCTCATATTTTGTTGGCACAGTTTTATACAAGCGTCCTTATGTTTTAGGACTTAGGAGTCAATAGGTACTTCACTAGTTTCCAAATTTGCTAGACATAAACTGCTGTTGTGGTTCATAGGCCTCATATAGGGCTGACTATTGTGTTTTTTTTTGTCTTTAGATGCGGTCTTTAATCAGTCTAGAATAGTTCTAAAATTCAAAGTTTTGGAGTTTCTCTCTTTGGAGACATAGTGTTACTAAATATAGAACAACACTATCCCAGAAGAATATAGGTAATGTTTAAGCTCAATGGAGCTGAGTTTAAGATCAAATAGTGTAGTGAGATACAACCCCCTTAGAACCAAGGCCCAAGGAATTATTGGCCAAATTCTAAGAAGATTCTTCTTCTTCCCTGCTGCTGAATTTACTATGTGAATCACAACAGCCCTCAATTTCTTTGGTCTTGTTTAAACCCAAGTTTGTTATCCCTTTTTCTTTATACACCAGTTTGTTGTATATGACAAGATTCCAACTGTAAAGAATTTCCAACAAAAAAAAAACGAAAATTCTAGGACAATCACCCTTTTCAGGCCACTTTGTTTAGTTCCACTCTTTCAAACCTTAAAAGGTACAAGCTTTGCATAACCTTTCCCAGTATCTATCTGATTGAAGGTGGTTTAATATCCTTCCAACCATCATATTTGCAGCATTAGCACCTATTTGAGATACCAACATCAACTCCTACCAGAAAGGTCCCACACCTGTGGACAATATTTCAATCCCCCATGCTCTTGGTGGCATGTTTAATTTTTAGAAGTTCAGCAGCTCATTACCCGTGTAAAATAGGTCACAGTCCATATTATCTCCACCATTGGCAATGTTGTGAAACAAGAGATGAAAAAAAGGGGGTCAGTTCCACTTCAAGCACGCGTCCTTTACTTTTTCACTTTGTCATTCCATCTAATGAAAATCTCATTCCAAATGCATATTCGAGTGCTGTATCCCTAAAATGTTGTTCATATTCACTAACTACCTCTATTTTGGTGATTATACACTCATTTTCCTTGATAAGCTGAGCATTCACATCCCTAAGATCATAACACCATCCACTTTCAAGATCTTCTACGCAACTAACATCAGTGCCACAGTAAACTCACAAAAGGTGGATTCTACAACTCTATGTTTTCTGCCTCAAGACAGAAGACCCAACTCAAAGCAAGGATCTGGCCAAATGCTTGCTTCTAACAGTAAAGCATCGTGAATGATATCCTCTCACATATAACAAATATAGACCTGTCAGCCTACACATCAAGAGAGTCTTTTATGATGGCAATAGATAAACTCGGAATAGATAAACTTTATTCAGCCAACTAATGTCTCCAAAACAAATCATATAGTTGTTTTATATTCTTGGAAATCCAACTAGAGCCAAGTACTAACACCCCTGAACCCTTGCCAAAAAGAAGGCATAGCACCTTCTTCTTTTATTAGAAAGAAGAGTGGGAACCTGACACCCGCTTAAATTGAACAACAATCATGGCCTCATCTAAGATACCATGCAGACTGATTTCTTTCAGATTGAATATTTTTCCAAATGCAATAGATGACCCATCTGTTAGGGCCATCTCCTAAATACATCATTCAAGCCCCCTGTTGAAAATTAAGAGTTCCTACACAGTTAAGAATACAATATACTATACCACCCATCTGAAGTTTCCCCATTATGAAGCTACATATGTACAGAATCATTCTAAAACATATAAAATGTAAAGATAAAGATTCGACTCTATTATATGCACCTGTCTATTAATAATCAGATAACCTTGTCCATCAACCATGTACGAAATCATCATTACTGAATCATATTCAGCGTCGGGAAATTTCAATGGAAGCTTTGTGGTCTCAATATCAAATGCACAAACATGAACTTCAGCACGTTGCAGGAGATCAGCCCTTCTTTCTAGCATAAGCCCAGCGCTGGATATGCAAACATCATACCACTGCCCACATCTTACATCTAAAAACATGAAGTTCAAAGTGAGACCAGTGTGAACAGGCAATTAAATAACAACTTCAGAAAGCATACAGGAAACAAAGAAGCTTTGCAATCAACTAAATAGAAAAGAAACTTGCCCAAAAAACTAAATAGAAGAGAAAACCACCATTGTCAATTGCAAAGCGAACGTGGTAAGGGACATCATACTCGCGGAGATCAGCAATACAATCTATAAAATTTTGAGGTCGTTGTTTGCTGCATGTCAAGCAAAAAACCGCCTCAAGCTTGGAAAATATTTGCACACATGCAGTTGGATGCAAATGTAACTATTATTGTTATTTTGTTATTGTCAATAATTTTGCATTAGCAAATAAGAAAATTGCTCCATGTAAAATAAATTTTGATTCAGGTCTCACGCCCTTACCTTTTTCCTGTCAATATGGATTCATATGCTTCAGCAGCATCAAACTTTGCCTGGTTTCTTTCAACAAAGTGCATTAGATCACTCTTTACATGCATCAATTGTTGCACCGTATCGAAAGATATCTTTAAATAAGATTTGCGCAAGCCAGACAGATGGGTTTTCTGTCATAAGCATACAAAGAAATCAAAATGTAACTTCCAGGACAATTTGTACAAAAACATAGAAGTTCAAACATCTGAGGCATAAATTAACCCATACTGATACCAGAAATATACATGATAGAACTATCATCAACAGAAGCCCAACACATCAAGTAAAATTTGAAGGGTTGGTTATAGACATGCAAAAGGCTCAAAAAAAATAGTTGGCTATATGATTATGATGAATATAGGTCAGTTTTTTGCTTCTACACTCAGAAACTTCTCTGATTTATGAAGGATAGAAAAGGCTACAACATCTGTTGGTCCACATAAGTCATAAGCCCCCTGAGAATTTCATTTGTGTAGCTTGTCTACATAAAGACAAAGTTCCAGCCGCCTAGGTAGATGTAAGTGAACAGTGGTGCACTGAATTATGCCCAATTCTAGCTACTTGCCTAAATCCATTGTTGGTTCCCACTGGTTTCACTTCTATCTCTTGCCAAAATAACTCAATAATTTTGTATACACCAAATGCTTCCTAAACTTCACTTCAGAATTTGATAGCAAGACTTAATACCCACCCAACATTGCTAGGCCACCCACAGTAACTAGAATATCCCAATAAAACCTCCCTTAATTTTCTTAAGTCTAGTTTAGCACAACCTGTCTTAGTGATCAATTTTAACCATGAGTTGAAGATGAAGCACTAAAAGTTGAGATGGGGATGGTTCATGGAGATCTTATTCTTTTACCATCAGTACAAGCAGAAATATGTCCATACAAAATCAAAATAGACGTCTATTGCATGCCACACAAGCACAACCCTCCTATTCATGGCCTGCAAAGGCAATAAAACTTTATTTTGGGTTAGCAAATAAAAAAATTTAGTGTGTGATCTAGGCTTAAGCTCTATACATTTGAAGGGTTGAGGCTTATAAAAGCTACAGCAGCAAGTCTCCAAATCCAAGTTTTCTTCTTAAACTCATATCAAGTTAGACCTGGTGGGGAAAGCCTGTGTAGGCCATTTGCAAGAGGGTTGGGCTCTATCTTTGATATAGGTGAGCTGGTGGGTTCAACAGAGCTTGTAATACATCAGCTTCACTATTCCTAACAAGCTTTTGTAGTACCATTGATGTCCACAAGTTATGTTACATGCAACTAGACAATATAACTCGACTTAACTAGCTCAACAAAGTCTTATCCTAACTATTTCAGATTAGTTACATAGAATCATGTTTCATCAGCACGCTCTGCTTGCAGTCATACTTCCAATTAAATCACAAGCCAGCATGTCATTATTTACCATATCAATTAATGTTCATTGTCTTCTTCCACCCCTAGTAACACCATGAACGTATATCACGTCAGTCTTCCTGAGTATTGCAGTTCTAGATCTTTTTAAATGCACCAAACCATCATAGTAAATATTCTCTCAATTTATGTCCTGTTGGTTATACATCAATCATTTTGCAAATACATTAATTCCTAATCCTAGCCTCTCTTGTTTAACCAAGCATATATCTTAACATCTTTCTTTCATTTACCATCCATTAATTTCAGAACATTGCAAGCACTTTACACCATCAAGCATCATTGATCTCATGATTATTCTATAGAACATCCATTCCAACTGAGGAGGTATATGTCAATTACATAAGATATCACATGCACTCCTCTACTTAATATATCTTGCTTTAAATTAGTCGATAATATCCTCTCCAATCTCACCCACCTTGTAAATAATTGAACTATACTGGAATCGTCCACTCTTTGATATACCTAAATCATCAAGTTTTTTCTACATTGGATTTCTAGTTTTAAAAAGTTAGATTCCATATTCTCATATTTCATTATACTTATCCTAAATCTTCTTGATTCCTAATCTAGTATTACTATTTACTTTAGTTCATTAATTAACCTTATATCATCAACAAATAACACACACCATGGAACCTCAACATAGATGTGCCTATTCAACTAGAACATTAGTTAAGGATGATCTTCTAATCCCTGGTGTAAGCCTACTGCAACTGAAATTTACTAGCTTTTCATGTGTTTGTTCTCAATATAATCATGACACAATTGTACTTGTTCTTAATCTCAGCAATGGATCTATTTATAACTCCTTCTTTAATAAATTACAACAAAAATTGTTGTACATGACTTATCCCAGACATAAATCCATCTCCTCTTTCCGCCAGCATCAAGACAATTCTCCTAGGATCCTAACAATCACATAAACATGGGTATTGCTAAAATTTTCTTTTACTGGGATGAAATATGGCATGAAAATACAAGGCATTCTACAATACAAAGGTGCTAAATAAAAAATGGGCATGAAAGGAAAAAGAATGTGGTGTTGCAGTGATGTTGGCTTACAAGATCAAGATCCTCTTTCTCCACAATTTCAATGTCAGCAATATGTCCCTCATAACACCGTCTCAAATATGCATCAACATCCATCTCCATTTTATCCTGCAATAATATATGAGGTGGCAATTAATTTTTTTTTTTTTTTGGGAGGGGGGGGGGGGGGAAAGAGGCTTGAACTTAAAAAGGGCAAAGCCTGGTAAGGAGGACCATTAGACCAAAGGGGTAGGCAAACCCTGGTAAGGAGTACCATTAGACCAAAGGGATCTAATGCCCATTGGTAAGGTGGCAATTAATTAGAGTTAACTCTACAAACACGATTCTTCCCCACAAATTATATGATAATTACATACCTTTGTGGTTGCATAAAAATATGGCCGGAACTTGTACTTTGCTTTGAAAGTTGATCCATCCTTCAATCAAATCATTGAACCAAGTAAGAAACACGTTAACAGCTTTTTCAAATCAGCTTCGGGGAATTCATTAAAAACTTTACCTGACAAACGAAATAGAGATCAACGCAACTGTAGACTTTATGTGTAGTTTGATCTTCCCAGGAAGACTACAAAATAGAACAAAAAGTCGGTTATTATCGGGAAAAAAGGTGCCTATATTCCAAAATTCGAGGAAAATTGGGCTATTTAGCGGAATGAAACTTGGAGTGACTTACAGAGGCGAAAGTGAGAAGCCAACCGAGGCGTTTTTCACCTTCGGTGAAGAGATTGTAACCAAGTTTGGACTCGAGTTGTTCTTCAGCGTTGAGAATGAGCTTCTGCTTCTTTGAAATCCTCGTGTCTCTACGGTCTCGCCATCGATTATCTCCATTCATTGTTTTGGTTGAAGAATTGAGATTAAGATGAAGATCGAGTTTTGGGCTTAGGAGTGGAGAGGATTAGAAAGAGAGAGATAGAGAGAGAGTGATGCAGAAACATTTCCCGCGCTTTTGTTCGGCTTCGTTATAACGTCAGATTACTAAAATGCCCTTCTTTGGGCGTGACGCTTTCGTCACGGAATTCGCACCCTTCTTATCACACCCAACCCATTAAAAATTTATGGGCACTTTTAAATTTATCAATTAAGTGGGAATATTGAAAAAGAATTGGAATTTTTTTTTTCTGGGTAAAATCAGATTACGAATGATAATAAAAAGCTCATGAACGTCAGATCTTCTAGCAGCTCTCTATCTCGTGTCACTATGCTCTAGACTGAATTTGGTAGATCTCATTCAGACAAGCATCCTTGGTAGTTATAAGAGAGGTCTCATCTTGCTAATTTATGTGTGGCATTGTTTCTCTCTGGGAGTGTGACAAACTCCACATTCTCGATGTCATATGTAACGATAAATTTTGATATGTAATGTAATATTAACACCAAAATAATGTTAAAATTATAATTGTTAATAATTTGACTTAATTAATAAAATGGTATTGACTCTCTTTGATGTACTTCTCACGTGAATTTTCCTTTAATTTGTAAATTTTGATGAGCCCGAATCTGACTGAGCCAAATCTAATAAAAATAAACCAAGAAGCCCAAATAATTAGGACTCAAAAGAGAGCCCAAGGTAAGTTGGGTCGATCCGTCAAGAATCCAACGTCCAGGAGGCCAGTGCCCAAGAGGCCAACGTCCAAGAGGTCGGCATCCAAGAGGCTAACGTCCAAGAGGTCGGCATCAAAGAGGCCAACGCTCAAGAGGCCAGCACCCCAAAGCACCAAGAGCCAACGCCCAAGCACTTGGGGTGCCGCCCAAAGGTCACCCAAGCCAGGCGCCGCCCAAGGCTGCCCCCTTGTCTTCCTATGTCCTTTTGACTCCAATGCAAGCCCAAGTCTACTCCGATCCAAGTTCAAGGTCAAGACCAAGCCCAGTCCAGCTCAGGATCTTTCTCCGATTGAATAGGAGTAAGAGGGAGAGAATGTTGGGATGGAGATGTAAACTTACAATGATTGCACTTACCAAAATAGTGGAGGATCTTTTACTCACACCACCGGCTCACCGTCTCACCGCCTTACCCCTAATTATATAATATACGCCCTCTCAACATTGAGGGCATGCCTTCGAAGCCTCTACACCTCCCCTTATACACCCTTATCTTTTCTTCTCTAAGCACTGTAATACTCTGGAGAATACTCTCTCTGGCGACTTCACCCATTAATAAAAAGACTCAAGCCACCGCAGCTGTTTACGAGAGTGGAGTAGATCACCTGAACCGAACTACTATAAATCTCTATATTAGCTCTTTGTTTACAGCTTTACCATTAATTGTCTGTTTATTGTTCATATTCATATTCTTAATTGTTGATCTTGCATGAGATCAATTTGTACATCATCAGTTTGACGTCGTCTGTGGAAACGACTAGTTTTCCTACTGTTTTGATCCATGACAATCACTACCAAATTAATGAGCTAAAAGCCGAGAGACAACAACCCGCCCCACCGGGAAGAGGCTCAGCCTCCCCTCACACCATCGGAACCATCAGCTATGGCGACCCTCGTCGTTAGACAACAACAACTCCTCCAAACCAAGTAGTTGCTAATGAGTCAAAACCAGCAGATCATCCAACTGATGCTCGCCTAAGGAGGCGTCATCCCTCACCCCGTGGGAGGAGCAACAATCTGTCCTTTCTGGGCTCTAAGCAGCCCCCCACCATGGGGACCCCCGCTAGAACACTCCAGGGCCACGCCAGGACGCCCCTCGCTCGACAGTCCCTCCTTAGAACGTAGGGAGCTTTTGCCTACCCCCTCCACACATATCAGTGCAGGAAAACGAAGACAGAAGAAGTCAATACGGAGACCATGAAAGCCAGTACCATCACTCGACTGAGGATATCCCCAATGAGTGAGACAAGAAGATTAAGGAGATGAAAAACCAACTTAGTGACGCCATTAAGGCACAGGCACCTGAAACCGTAAACTACTTGGTAAGGCACACTGATATGTCTTTTATTGCTGATATTGTCAATTATCCTCTATCTTTAAAGTTCAAGATGCCCAATATTGAGATCTTTGATGGCACCAGGGACCCACTCGACCACCTTGACACATATAAGTCTCTCATGCAACTTCACAACGTGCTTGAGGAGATTATGTGTAAAGCCTTCCCTACCACCTTGAAGGGGTCTGCCCGCTAGTGGTTCTCCAAGCTTAGGCCCCCCTCTATCCGTTCTTTCGCCGAGCTGAGTAGGTCCTTTGTCTCCCACTTCATCGGGGGACGCTGACATCAAAAATCAGTGACCCACCTGTTCACCATCAAGTAGGACAGGGATGAAAGCCTTAGAGGCTACCTTGCCCGCTTCAGTGAGAAAATTCTCCAGGTTGAGGAGCTGAATGATAAGGTAACTCTAGTCGTCTTTATCACCGGCCTCCACACCTCCAGCTTTATGTTCTCAGTCCTCAAGAAACCGTCCTCTAGCATGTTCGAGCTGCTGTCCAAGGCCCAGAAATACATGAACGCTGAGGACGACACCCAAGGCCATAAAGGTGAGTCCTCCCGAGGGGGAAAAAAGGAAAGATAGCTGAGAAGACAGAAGGGAAATCAAGAACAAGAGAAAGAAAGCCAAAAGGGTCTCCGTAAAAGACTATCTTGGGCCACTACCCTTGAGAGATTGATAGTCGTTCACTCCACTTAATACGTCAGTGGAGCACATTCTGTTCTAGATACAAGACGACCCTATAATCCGTTAGGCTGGGAAGATGAAGTCTGACCCGAAATGTCGAAACCCCAACAAGTATTGTCGCTTCCACCGCGATCATGGACATTACACAGGTGACTGTTTTCAGCTAAAAAAAAGCAGATCGAGGAACTTATCCAGCGGGGACAACTTAGACAATATATGACTGGTCGAGGACTAGCCCTGCCACACAAAGAATGAGAGCACCAGCAGCCCCTCAATGAAATACAGACCATCGTCGGAGGACTAGGAGGAAGAGATGACTCCAACTATCCCAGGAAGGCGCACACCCGAAGAGCGAGACAGGCAGAGTCACATAACTCCCGCCCCGATGAAGACACCCCGATGTGGGAAAGAGGAGGTTATCAACTTCTCTGACAGAGACCTTGAGGGGGTCCAAGTCCCTCATGATGACCCCCTGGTCTTGACCTTGATGGTGGCCAACTACCAGGTCAGGAGGGTCTTAGTCAGCAGCGAAAACTCAACCGACATCTTGTTTGCCACAGCCTATGATAGCCTTCACCTCGGTAGAGAATGACTACAACCAGTCAGGACTTATTTGGTTGGTTTTTCAGGAGAGAGAGTCCATCCCCTGGGATCTATCACTCTATCTGTCACAGCAGGGACTGCACCGAGGAGCTCTACCATCATGGTAAACTTTCTTGTACTCGATTGCCCTTCTATATGTAACATAATTCTTGGCTGACTTGCCCTCAATGCCCTAAGGGCAGTGTCGTCAACCTAGCACCTTCTCCTCCATTTTTCAACCTCCAGTGGAATTGGGGAGATGAGAGGAGATCAGATCTCAGCTAGAGAGTGCTATGTGGCCTCTATGAGGGCCAGAAAGACCATAGGAGACTCTTCAAGTCAAAGTGCTTGACCCTAGAGACGACGACACCTTGGAGAGGAGTGAAACTGTAGGAGAGCTTCAACCCATAGTGGTTGACGACAACTTTCCTGAGAGGAAGGTATACATAAACTCCTCACTCTCCTAAGAGCAGACATCCCCCTTGGTAGACTTCCTCAGGCAGAACATAGACATCTTTACCTGATCCCACGAAGACTTGGAAGGCATTGACCCCGAGGTGGCCTCCCACCAACTCAACGTAGACCCCAGATACAAGTCTGTCCGCTAAAACTTGAGGAGTGTAAGTGCTGAGAGGGGCAAGCTATGGATAAAGAGGTAGACAAACTACTGACGAATGGGTCGGTAAGGGAGGTAGCCTACCTAGATTGGCTATCCAATGTGATGATGGTAACAAAGGCCAATGGAAAGTGGCGCCTCTGTATGGACTTCACGGAGCTCAACAAAGCCTGTCCTAAAGACAATTATCCTCTTCCACGCATTGACTTACTCATTGACGCCACTGTTGGACATAAACTCCTAAGATTTCTAGATGCCTATTCCGGGTATAATCAAATAAGTATGTTTCCCCCAAACTAGGAGAATACCTCATTCATTACCCTAAGAGGTACCCTACTGTTATAGAGTGATGGCTTTTAGGCTCAAGAAATCCGAAGCCACATATCAACGCCTAGTCAATAGGGTGTTCGAGGCCCAGATTGGAAAAACAATGGAAGTTTATGCAGATGACATATTGGTAAAAAGTGTAGCAGCTGCAGATCATGTAGCACACCTTCAAGAAACCTTCAATGTGTTGAGAGCATACCGGATGAAGTTGAATCCTAAAAAGTGCGTCTTTGGCGTCAGTTCAGAAAAATTCTTAGGCTTCTTGGTTCACAAAAGGGGCATTGAAGTCAACACAGATAAAATCAGAGTAGTCTTGGAGATGAAAGTCTCCTACCTCAACCAAAGAGGTCCAATGCCTCAACGGGAGAATAGTAGCCCTTAACAGGTTTGTTTCTAAATCTGCAGATAAATGTCTACCCTTTTTCAAATCCTCCACAGGTCTTTCCAGTGGAGCCCAGAGGCAAAGGAGGCCTTCTAGAAACTCAAGGCTTATCTCGCCACACCACAACTACTCTCCCATACTATGCCAGTAGAAACTCTCTACCTTTACCTCTCCTCTTCACCCACTACCGTGAGCTCTATCCTCGTCAGAGAAGATGGAGGCATCCAGAAGACCGTGTATTATGTAAGCAGAGCCTATCGAGGGGCAGAGGTAAGGTACTCAGAACTGGAAAAATTGGCTCTCGCCCT